TATTACAGTTTAATTTTTTTTTTATTTTTATTTTTCTAGTAGAAATAAGGAAACAATGTCCTTTTGTTATTTGACCTAGTTTTTAGTTATTATTTTTAATATTTCTATAAAATATTTAAATTATAATTTTTATGTTATTATAAAATATTATAATATAATATTTTATTATTACATTTTATTAATTAAATTATATATACATAATATTATTTTATTATAAAATTAATATTTTATTATATATATTTATATATAATATTATATTTTATATTATAATTTAAAAAATTTTTTAAAAAATATTTTAATCTTTCATTTTAAGAACTAAATTGTTTATTTCATTTTGATAATTGAATTTGAGAAAGAAATTGAAATTGAAAAAGAATATCTTTCATAATCTTTTGAATAGAATTTGAAATGTGTTTTACGTTTGATCTTATTGATCTTAAGATAATACCTCATATCTCGTGTATTTTCTACGTTTCTAACTAAAAAAAAAAAGAAAAAAAATAACATTGAAATATCTAGTACTCTAAACGTGAAATAACCCTGTCCGATGAAGTCGAAGACTATGTGGATCTTCATGATAAATTTCTTTCTGAGTTACTGCACAAGAACGTATTCATTGAACTGTGTTTAATGTAAATTTCTTTTAGAAAAATCTTTTTGCTACATTATCTCTCTCTTCTGCTATTTTTACTTCTTTATACTAAAATATGTATTTACAGTGCACATCAGATAATATTTTTAACAAGTATATTCTCCATGATAGAAATAATATTATATCTAAACTTTTTATATGATAAAAGTAAACTAACAAAAAGTAAAATTATAAATAAATTTATATATATATATATATATTAAATACTAAATAATAAATATTTAATTTTTATTTTCATTTTAATTAGTTAATTTAATGTTTATTTTAATTAATAAATATTTCTATTAGAATTTATATTTCTATATTATTATGTATTAATATTTATATTATTTATATTAAATAATATTTAAATTTATTATATTTTTATTATATTTATTTAATAATATAAATTGTAATAAAAACTCTAATAAAAATATATATTTTTGTGTGTTTGTAAGTTCAGAGACAGATTAACTTTACGTACAAAGAAGAATTTAAAAAACACACACGTTGTGTGATGAACGTAAAATACACATACACACATATACACATAGAAACGTATATAAAACACGTAGTCGCTTACGATCGTTCGCCCTTTTTGGAGCCCTAGTGTCCATTTGTCTCCGCCCTTTATTCCTTTTGCATACTTTCAACACGAACAACACAACTCACCCACTCACCCCCTCTCTCTCTCTCTCTCTCTCTCTCTCTCTCTCTCTTTCTCTCTCTGTCTCTGTATTTTTCTGTTTGAAAGAAAAGCTTTACGACATGAGTTTGCTTGGCCCTTGTTTTCCAGTTTCTGCTCTTCCGGTTCTCGTAAATCACTGAAAGTTTTTCTTCTTCGTTTACTATTATATACTACTACTAACTCTCTCTTCTTCCTTGATGGTACGTCGTGTTCAATATTACGTCAAAGAAATTCGAAACTTTGGTACATCGCTATACTACCTTATATAATTCAGTTTGTCCAAGTATTATTATTATGATGTTATTATTTTTATTGTTATATCTTCTGATCCTAATGCAACCTTTTGATTTATACTTTTTTCCTTTTGATTTTACTTTTTTCCCTTTCATTATATTTTTTATGAATTTTTATATATTTTATCTTACTATATATTATATATTTATATCAACAAAATATATTTTATTTTTCTACCTAATTTTATATATATAAAATATATATTATTATAATATATTATAAATCTATAATATTATATATTTATATATTTCGTTAATATATAAATATATTATAATAGTATTATATATATTTATTTTATATAATATATATTATAATATTATTATATTATATAATAATATAATATTAAATACTTATATTAACCAAATATATTTTATCTTTTTACCTAATTTTATATATATATATCCTTTAATTTAATTTTTTTTTAAATTTATTTTTGTATTTATTTGAAATGTTTTAAATAACTTATCTAAATAATATATGTTAAGAATATGTGAATATTATATTTTAATTATATTTGTTTTGTAAATAATAAATGCATTATTATAGATATTATATATAAAATTTATAAAATTTATTAATAAGTTTATAAAAATTTATTAAGATAATCATATGTAAAATCTATGCGTAGTAATTTAAAAGATTTGGATTACAAAAATTTAAAAAAAGATCTATCAATGGAAAAAGTAATTAATTTATTTTTTTGGATTTATTATAATGTTAAAAATGATCCATTCATATTGTCATACATGTTAAAAGTATGAAAATTTATCCAGAATTCATAATTCAAAATTCATTCATTTAGAATAAAAATTTTCTCTACCCATTACTTCTTCATCTTTTTTGAAATATTATAATAATATCTAACTTTAACTTTTAACTTGACACGTTTTTAGGTATATTACTGGTTTCTTATCCAAATTTAAAATAAGAAAAATTGATGGCATAATACTTAAATGTATATATATAAGTATATACGTAAGTATACGTAAGTAAGTACCTTGGTATTATCGTTCCATCGTGCGTGACAAGAAAATCGATAATCTTTAAAACGAACCTGTCTCTCTCTCTTGCGGATTTCTCTTTCTCTCATCCCATTTACTACTCTCTCTTTCTCTCTCTCTCTCTCTTTCTCTCTCTCTCTCTCTCTATCTCTCTCTCACTCTCGAAAAGACGATATGCAACGCATGAATAAGTTTCTTCTTATATTCTTATTCTTTCTTTTTTATTCTTCATAAGTGGGAAACGTCAGCAAAGAAATAGAATTTATTTCTGTTCTTTTACTATTATTACTACTACTACTACTATTATTATTATGATTATTATTATTATTATTATTATTATTATGATTATTATTATTATTATTATTATTATTATTATTATTATTATTATTATTATTATTATTGCTATTACTGTTATATATAATACATATGAAACTGGTAATATTAAACCTATGCAAATGTATAATACATATATGATTTTCATATATTACAATTATTATAAAATATCAAACGTTTCAATATGATTAAATAAAAGAAATTTTCCATTCGAATTGAAATAATTGAAACTTAATTTAACGAAAATTTAACCAAAACCATCCTACACCTCTTCAGAAAATGATTCGAACGTTAAATAAATTTAATCGGATATTATTTAAACGTATATATAATATCTTACAAATGCATAATTATCGTTCTGTATAAAATTATTATATTTAAAACAAACAGAAGAAAAAGAAGCATACTTATCGTTCTGTATAAAAAAAATTTGATTTAAAACAAACAAAAGAAAAAAAAGAAGATAAGAAAAATAATCTAAAAAAATATAAAAAAAAAAGAGAGAAAAAAATTAGAATTACCTATTAAAAAGATAAAAACTTACTTTGCAACGTTAAAAAAAACAATCGTACGTGTTTTTTAAGGAAATAGTTTTTTCCACCACMCAAACCAACCAACCACCAACCCCCACTTCCACTTCCCATCCCACCAACTATAAAATGAAAACCAATATTTCATTTCCTTCTTATCGCTTCAAGAAGATTCGAATGAAAATCGATTTCAATAGAATGGGGAGTGGGTAAAAATAAAAAAGGGGGGTTAAAAAGTTGAAGAGATTGCCATTCGTTGACGTTGCTTGCTTCTGTTAACTGCGAGATTTCTTTTTCTCGTTCACTATCAAACTCATTCTTTAATCGTAAGGAAAAAATCTACCGACTCACTGACTGAGTGACTGAATGACTGATGGGGTTTGGGGGTGGATTTTTCTCTCTCTTTTCCCACCCCCACCCCTACTAGTTGGCTCGATAGCACGAAAAATGCAGGAAATTGCACTAGCGGTGAAACGAGAAGCGTAATTTAGAACAGACCAGAATGTGCAACCAAGACTTTTATTTTTTTTACCCCCTCACCCCTGCACCCTTACACTCATCCTAGCTTACCCTATCTAAAAAAAAAAAGAAAAAAAAGAGTGGTTCCATCTCTCTCACACTTACACGCCCTTCTTTGGATAGGCTCACATTTCAAACTTGAAAGTCGAGTACTCGACTACGTCTAACTACGAATACGAAAAAGAAAAAAGAAAAAAAAAATTATCATCTTCAAGAGTTATATATAGCGTAGAAAAGACGAACAAATATTTATCTCTCATGTCGGTGGTGAAAAAAAAAAATAAACGTATTATTTTTTTTTTTTTTTTTTTAATTTTGAACGATATTTGAGTTATAATTTTTGCGAATAATAATGGGATATATTATTTATTGAGATGATATAAGATAAAAAATGTTTAAATATTCTTTTTTTGGTTACTTAAATGTTAAACTTTATCAAGTATTTTTTAAAAAAAGTATTTAGTATAGGTTAAAAAAAAGAAAAAAAGAAAATATATAATGTAGTATTGAGTTTTTATAAAATCTTATTCTATATTAAAATATATATGAATATATATTTTAAATAATATGATATTAAAATATTAAAATAATATTATAATATTAAATAGTAAAACTTTAATATCTTTAATATTTTACTTTCTAAGAAGAAAAAGAAGAAGAAGAAGAATATTGAAATAATATTATAATAATAAATATTAAAAATTTAACAAAATATCAAAATAATATTAATATTATTATTTCTTTATTCATATTATTATTATATATAATTATATATTTGTTGTTGTAAAGAAATCATTTGACAACTCACAATATTATCAATATGTTATTTAACGTTAAAAAGAATTTATATTAGAAATTAATTATTTCCAAAAATCAATGAACTGAGCTTTTAATTATTTCGCAATTTATATCTCAATTTATTTCTCAATTTATTTTTCAATTTATTTTTTAATTTATTTGCTAATTTATTTGCTAATATATTTATATGAAATTGATTAACTTACTCAAAGGATGTCACCGGTGCTTGCGGCTCTAGTAGTTCTCGTAATTGGACCCGATCTTTGTTGATGATCTTGTCGTGATCTGCAATATATTATCTTCCGGAATGCTTTCCGAAAATTGTCGCTCAAAAAAGCATAAAGTATGGGATTTACACAGCTATTGGTATATGCCAATATGTGACTTACTATTTGAATTATAATAGTCACCGATCTTAAAGGATACGCGTCTAAAGATTTCGTGACCAATATCACCTGTAAAAAAAATTAAACAATTATATTTGCAATAATATTATTTATTTTTTATTCATACATTTGTGTTTTTTTAATACACTGATCAAAACAATTAATCGTATAATTTGAATCCTTCGAATTTGTATTTGAAAAAATAAATCAATTTATGTGTATTATATCAGTGAATTATATTTTAATTTAAAATTTATAATAAAAAAAAAGAAAAGGAAGAAATTTTGAATTTACCTGAATAGGACACCAACATATTGCAAAAACGCCAACAACTACGAGAACCAATCGCGTTACTCGTCTTCTACCACGTCGACTTTCAGCACTGACACGTGCACCACGCCATAATCTGACGAGCATGCAGACGTAAAAGACGCATATTAGCGTCAATGGTAGCAAGTAACTCGTTAAGAAGAAGGATACCTGGAAAAATGACCAATCATATTGCGGTAGGATCCGACAGGCCGTCAGATTTTCCGACGACCAGTCTTCCATATCCTGAAACACAAAGTGAATCTACATACATAAGGGAGCAACTTTTGTTATGGTCAAAAAGACTATTAATTAAAAAAAAATAAAAAAAGTAACAAACAAATGTTCAATACTTCGCAATTATATTTTTCAAACCAATTTTAATCGATTGTTTTATCAAATTTATTACTTATAGAAAATATTTATTAACATATTATTAATTATATATATAATTTAGTATAATATAATAAATAATATATAAATTATGTTAAAAAAATATACGTTATTACGTATGTTATAAAGAATTTATATTATTACATTTATAAAAAATATATATTTTCTATTAAAATTTTTTAAATTTAATTAAGTAAAATTAATACTAATTAAATTAAATATAAATATAAATATAAAATATATAAATTAAATATAAATATAAAATATATAAATTAAATATAAATATAATTACTAATAAATTAATACTAATTAAAATTTTATTTCTAATTATAATTATTTTATTTATTTATGGTATTAATTATATAATAAAAAATAATCAACAAGAAATGTAAATACTTTTACAATAAGAACAATAACTATCAATATAATGTATAAAAATATTTAATTTTCTTTCTATTTGATATATATATATATCATCGTACATATATATATCATGTTCAATCAATAGTCACTCAAAACGTGTCTAACATTTTTCTCAAATGTTTGTTTAGTATTTATCTTTGATCTCACAAATCACCGATCTTTCTTCAGTGCTATCTCAAATATACGACTGGCATAGAGTAAACAATAAAAAGAATAACAAATTATTTATTTATATTTTTCGTAAATCGATTTTTAAACCGTACTATTATTTGTTGTTGTTTGGTCAACAAATCGTTGGATTATAAATTGACCAAGTACAAAGAATCAATAAGTATACGATAAAATTCATTGATCGAATAAAAAATAATACGTCTAATATAAACATAATAAAAAAAATAAAAAAATAAAAAGCGAATATATAGTGGAGCTATATAAAAGCTGTATAAAAAATAATATATGTATAATATAAATAAAACAAAACAAAATAAAATGAATAGAAGAGATTTTTAAAATTTCAAATCAAATGCAAAAAAGAGACAGAAAAATTAAAAGAAAAATAGAATATTTTCAATATATATATATGATGTATATATTGTATATATTACGTTTGAATAATATCCATCTACTGGTTTTCTATCAAATGAATTGTGGTTGACTTACCTCGCCGTGAATAACGAGAGCTGGAGTGGATAACGCAAATATAACCGCCCATGCGATGCCAATCGCTAAAATTGCATTATTCTCTGTCCTCCAGGACATAGATGTTATCGGATGAACTACTGCCAAATACCTGAGAACAGAAAATAGATACAGAGAAAGAAAGAAACAGAGATATATATAGAATATTAATTGTAAGATATAAATAAATATATTTTATGTTTATTATAATTAGTAATAGTATTAAACGAAATTGTATACCATAACTACATAATATATATTATATATAGTAATATATATTATATATTTACTTTATAGTACTTTATATAAATATATTTATATGTTATTATGTAATATACATACATATTATATTATATATATTATATTATACATTACCTATATTAATATAATAATAATATATATATAGTAATATATACCTAATTATATATAATATTTTAATTTGTAATATATAAAATATATAATATATAATAACTATAATTTTTTAGAACAGAAAATAGATAAAGAAGAAGAAAGAGAGAGAAAAATAGAAAGAATATTAATTGTAAAATATAAATAAATATAATTTATGTTTTTTATAATTAGTAATAGTATTAAACAAAAATTAAATATTATATAATATATATTATATATATATATATATTTACTTTATAGTACTTTATATAAATATATACTTATATATTATTATTTAATATATATATATATAATATTTTAATTATTAATTATATATAATATTTTAATTTTTAATGTAGAATATATAATATAAATAAATTTATAATATAGAATATATAAAAAATATAAATTAATATATAATATAATATATAATATAATATATAATATTAATTATATAAAATATATAAATTTATTATATAATATTTTTATTAAATTTAATAACTATAATTTTTTTAAATAATTATCATTACACAAATGAATATCATAATATTATAATAATAATAATTCATTAATCTGATTTAATATTAATTGATCAAGTTACATTGTAATTAAAAAAAAGAAAAACAAACTAACAATTATTCAATAATAAATTAATTTTCTTTTTTATTATTATTATTTTCAATAGCAGGAATTAATATGGTAATTAGACTTAATTGAAAAACACACACACTTACACATTCACATGGACATATATGCATCTATATACTAGTATATAGGGTATGGAAAAACGTAGGATCAAAAAATAATCCACCTTGACACAAAACCGGCATCACCATTTTCATTTTCGTTGCTTTTAATGCTTTCGCTGATTAAAAAATTGATTGATCGTTTCACGAGTTTTAAAAAAGGAAGTAAACGTGAGTATACAGTATTAGTGCTTTGTGTGTGTGTGTGTATATATATATATGTATCCTGATACATAAATCGATTGAAAAAATTCTTGAGATCACGTATACCATTCAAAAATGATTTTTCAATTTTCATATCAAATATTGTAAAATGAAAAGTCGTAAAATTCGTCGTTTCAATCAGACATAAAAAAACACCTTGTATAATGCATGGTATAAATGTCATAGATGCAATTTATACAAATGCATATATATATATATATTAGGATGCTTTCGTCACGCATTGCTGTGGTTTTGTTATAAAATATAATTTATATTTTTTATTTAATTATAATAAAATATATCATATTTTATAATTTTATATTTAATTATAATAAAATAAAATATTAATTTTTAATATAATTTTGAAACTATTTAATAAATTATAACAACACACAAAATAATTCTAAAACTATAATGGAATAAATAATACTATTATATAAAACTATATAATAAATACTATAATATAACTATAATAATAAAATAATAATACTCGAAAAAATATAAAAAATAAGGTTAGTTATGTCATATGTAAATTTGAAAAAAACCTAAAAAAAATTGAATTGTAATACAACTCCATCTATTAAAAACTTACAGTACTTAGAAATCTAGATAACCTCTAAATAATTAAATCCTTAAATTAGTAATAAAAAATATCAAATAATCATACTAAAAACTATCACCCTATATATTAGGTTAAAAAAAATTAAACTAAATATAAAAATAAAGATATACATTCATGTTTTTTTTTTCAATAATTCAAAATTAATCTCATAAACTCTTTATGAACGTAAATATCATTTTTCATAGTATTTTTAAAAGCTTCCATTAAAGAAAGAGATAGAAAAAGAAAAAGAAAAAAATAAAACACACATTCACACACATGGAAGAAAGGATAAAAAATGGACGATGGAATGGAACGAAAAGGAAAATAGAAAATAGAAAATAGAAAAATAGAGAGTAGGAAAAGATTTGTAACGAGAACGTCATAGTGGCACAAAGATGTTTCCGAGCTACATTTTCTTCTTGCATAAAACGACGAAGTAGAACGCAACTCTACACGTTTTTCACACACCTTTCTTTCTTTTTTTCTTTTTTTCTTTTTTTTTTTTTTTACACCTCTTTCTTCAACAAGGGAATATATGCATATATCCTTTTTTTCCCTTAACTTGATATTTTTCTTTTTTTTTTCTTTTTCACGGGAATACTCGTAAGGATGATAATGTGCCCTGTGAGAGTGTCATTCAATGTACAGGACAAATCATTTTTCTTTTCTCAGAGCTTATATTTTATTTTTTATATTTTTTTTTCTCTTTTAATATAACACCTAAAAAAAGTTTACCTTTCCTCGATTTTAATTATTTTTTTTTTTCGTCTAATAATAAAGTTTGTTTTTTATATTAGAAAAAAAATATTAAAGAATTTATTATTCGTATATTATTCAACATATTTGTAAAATATTTTTTTAATTAATTAGGAAAAGTTTAATCGAATCAAAAAATATACAAACATATAGTGATGTTTTTATTTAAAAAGAAAATTATATTTAATTAAATTATATCTTAAAATTTAATATAGTAATAATTATATATAATAGTAATGTAAAATAGTTGTAATTAAATTTGGAATAATTATATTTTTATTTAAAGTAATAATTGCTATAAAAAATTATTATATAATAATACAAATGTTGTTTAATTATATATATTTAAATGATTACATTATTTTGAATGAAACATTAAATATGTAAAATATAAATAATATTTAATATAACAATCTTAACAAGTGTTTTGTAAAACATTTCAAACATGTAAATTTGTATTTTGTTTAATACTAATACATCACCTTTAAAAAAATCGAAATGTTACATTAGCAATGCAATGTAACCCAACACGAAACGAAACAAAACCAATTTAATCGTTCGATGTTAAAAATATTCCAACTAATCAAAGTTAAAGAAAGATAAAAAAAAGAAGGGTGATGGTGAGGTGGTGGTGAAGAAAGAAAACCGAAGCCAAGTAGGACGTTTCCCTATCTTCATTGATTTATCTATTTGACACTTTCTTATCCTATTTCTTGTAAAATAGCAAATATAAGTGGAATGAATTTTAAAAAGGAAAAAAAGGTGGATTCATCAAACACGACAACATTCATTTTGTCGCAGTAAAAAAAATCATATCAACCGCAGTATATGTGGTGTATGTGTATGTGTGTGTGTGATAAGGAATACGTAAAACTAAAAGAAAAGTCATACACATATACATATTTGTGTATCTTGGCAAACGGAATGTAAGACCACGATTTTGTGAAATTTATGCTCACTCGCCTGTCAAGAAGTCCACCACGTACGTATAAGTAAGCATTTTATTTATATACGTATATGTATTTACATATTTTGCATGAGAAAAAGATTCACCATAGTGACGTAAGAAAGAAAGAAAGAAAGAATAAAAAAAAAAAAAACTAAGGGAGAAAATGGAGGCCGATCTAACACAAATACAAACGAATATAAAATGTAACTGGTTGAAATATCTTTTTTCCAATTGCAACCTATGCACTTTTGCATATGCAAAAACATATTGCATCTTTCGATATTATAATTTTTTAAATAATGCTAACAATAAGTTTGATTTTATTTAATAAAAGAAACAAAATCATTGGATGCACAATATTATATATTATATATAAATATTTTATTATATAATATATTTCTACTACATTTATTATACTATATATATGTATAATATTTTATTTAATAATAAATTTAAATTAATTTTAATTTAATTAATAAAAAATTTAAATTAAAAAAAATATATATATATTTATAAATATAAAATTATATAAATTTTAATATAGTAATATATAATATTAATAATATTATAATATATAAAATTTGTATATTTTTATTATTACATATTTTATATTTTAATATAAATATATATATATGGTATATATATGACAAATTCAAATCTTTGTATATTTAATCATATTAGAAAAACAATCTATTTTCTTTATATTTAAACAAAAAACAAAACAATTTCAGATAAAAACGAAACCAAGTAAAATATCTTACCTGTCAAGACTCATGAGGACTAACGTGTAAACGCTAGCATAAGCGGTTACGATGATAAGATATTGGACAATTTTGCACCAAATATTACCAAAGGGCCAATAAGGTAATACAAAATCTGTAGCAGTGAATGGTATGCAAAATATAACGAAAAGTAAATCGGCAACTGCTAGATTAATGATTAGTATATTAGTTGTTGATCTCATTCCTGGATTAGCAGCAACTACGATAACAACTAATGTGTTTCCAATTAATCCGAGAATACCGATCATTCCAAAAAATACTGGTACAATAACGCTGACTATTTTTTCAATGAGATCACGATCATAAGTAATATCATTTTCATATTTATCGCAAGCTGGATTATTGTTTTTTAATGTACCATTGCATATATTACTAAAATTCGACCATTGCTCGGTTAAATTTTCGATTACTATATCCAATATGTTTTCCATCTTGATATTAGAAATATTTTCTTTTTGGTTTTGTTTAGGTTTAACTTTTGGTCAGATAATAATCAACGTGTGTTTTTTGCAAATTATATGATTAGAATTTTAAATAGGTTATTTTCTTCGAATTTTTGCATGACTCGTGTAATTTTCATAATTTTTGAATATTTGTAATTTCCTTCTTTTTCATTTTTTTTATCTTTGTTATCTGACGATGGCCCTAGGGGTAAATTATCTGGAAAATAAATAATTTTATTTAATTTATTATATAATTTAAAACAACTATCATTAAATTTGTTTTTTCTATTTTAAAAATTATTTATTTCATATTGAATTTAACTTAAATATTTTTAATTTTATTATTACAGTTTATTTATTATTATATTTTTTTATATATTAGGTCGAGTCATAAGTAACTTCCGATGCGTCTATGTAGAATCTATTTTTCGTATTTACCTACTATAAGTCACCGAAACAAACGAATTTTTGATATCACTGTACAGATGAGGATTCAGTTAGTCTTCTGTCAACTTTTTTATGTAGTCAATGTTACATTTAACCGTTTTTCTTAACTTCTGAAATGGATAGTAAACAGTGCATATTCGACATGTAATGCTTTAGGAATTGAAACAAGGCAATAGCACTAAAGTGGCAGCTGAAAAAATATGCAGCGTATACGGTGCAGGATTGATAACTGATAGGGCAGTCAGAAATTGGTTTGTAAATTTCCGTTCTGGAGATACGACCTTAAAAGACGAACCGAGTGCAGGACGTCTTTCCAACTTTGACGAACCTTTTAAAGGTAATATTGGAGCAAAATTCAATAGATACGTCAAACGAATACAAAGAGTGCAAAAAAAACACTATGAAAAGTGTCGTGCATTTATCAATGACAGAAACACCATTCTTTGTCTCATAAAAAATGGAAGTTATTTATGACACGACCTAATATATATTATATTAAATTTATTTATTAATATATTTTAAATTTAATGAAATATATTTTTTCTAATAATTACGGTCGTAATTACTTTTATTTTATTTTTTATCTTTTTTTTTTTTAATTTTAAACACAAACATAATATAAAAAAGTAACATTTAAAAAGTATATATATATTTAACATTTATTTAGATTTATTTTATTTATATTTCCATATATTTAATATTATTTATGTTCGATTTGTTGCAATAACGTTATACCTCCTCCCTCACAATTCCCTACCAGAATTAAAAACTATGAACATATATATAGTAAAATAATTTAATATCGATCAAGTCTTGTCACCAAAGTTCATAGAATTTGAAATTACGTCAAAGAATTGGGTGAGGGGGGGGGCTTCATTAAAAATATTCATGAAGGGTTCTCGCATCTCAAAAGAAGTAGAAAAAGTGGAAGAAGAAAAAGAATGTGTTTTTCCAGTGGACAAAGAGAGAGAGAGAGAGAGAGAGAGAGAGAGAGAGTGAGAGAGAGAGTGAGAGAGAGAGAGAGTGAGAGGGGAAAGAAGAGGGATACTACCATATTGAAACTTATTCATTTTTTTTTATTTTTTATTTATCATGGAGAAATCAAATGGGGAATGTTTTTCTTTCGGTTACGTGAGAAAATGATTGGTACGATCGATCGAACCGAATGTGACAACACAAAACAATATTTTTCATAAAGAAAAAATATTTTCCAAAATGAAAGTCATTGATTATGTTTAATACGTGAAATACGTGAAATATCAATGTAATATCTTTGTAATGATAATAAACGTATTCAATTTCAATGCTATAAGTATTACAAATTACAAATATAATTCAACATTATTGAACAAAATTTGTAAATTAGATTTAATAAGTAGTATAATAATTTCGAAGGAAAACACAATTTTAAAACCATGATAGTGAGCAATTGAACAAATAAATCTCGAACGAATAACAATGGGAAAATGAATAGGAAAATTGCAGGAAATTGATTGTGAGCTCGTTTTGATAATATTACCCGAGACCCCCTCTCACCACCCCTCCCCACTCACCCCCCCCCTTCCCCAATCATCGGATTAAATTAACTAACTAAAAGTGTCAACCATTCTAATGCAAATGTTAAAACAGTTTCATCATTTGACTATACACATATATATCTATAAATTGTTATCTACACATTGAAATTATTTTGAAATAATAAAAAATAATATTGAATAATATAGTTAATATTGAATAATAATTAAATATAATAAATAAATATATTAATGAGTGTAGGTGGAAAGGTGGTTGTGGTTTTTCTCATTGAAAAATGTGATTTAAAATTTCGTGCTTTTATTTATTTTTTAACTTGTTAATGTGTTAACTAACCACGTTAATAATGTATAGTATTATTAGTTATAATATATAATATAATAGTATAATATATAATATTATAATATAATATATAATATAATATAATAATATAATATAATACATAATATTATATAAATAATCTTATAATATATAAGATAATATATAATATTATTAGTTAATATATATACAAAATCAATTGACAATTAATATATGATAAATAAAATTCAATTAAATAATAATAAAACAACATTGTGAAATAATTTACGATAATTTGTTCTCTTTTTTTTATTGAATTGTTTCTTCTTTTCTTTACGACATTTTATACTCAAACGATTCTTCCATTATCTTATCTTACAAACAATAAATAACAAGTTAGTATCATAAAGAACAAAAAACCAGATTGATACGTGTGTAACGTGAAAATAAAAAAATAAAAAAGGTTCATATATAATAATAACGAGCGTATCGATCTTATATATCAAATAGAGAATGTGCAAATATCAACAGAGAGAGTTATTTATTTTATTTTTTTTTTTTTTTATCGTAATAATACCTTCAACGCATATATATATGAAAGAGAAAAAGAGAAAGAGAGAAAGAGAAAAAGAGACACGTGTAACTCAAGAAGAATTAATTATAATATTCACAGAGAGCTAACCAACAACAAAAAAGGTGTCATTTTTGGAACTGTAATGTTAAAACATCAACAAATTTCACAGATAAATTAAAAATAAAGATAATCAGTAACGATAAACATACATAATCGACATGATCTATAAATTTTTTATCGAATACGTGAAAGATTAAACAAGATAAATAATCAATAATATTTTTTAATTAATTTCGTATATTTTTCAAATAAACAATTTTTCATCGTTAAAAAAAAAATACGTACGAGTACAAATAGAATTCATTTATAGGCTGTCAAATATTTATTCAAACAAAAATAAAATATAGGTATGTTAATATTGCAATAATTATTACATATTTAACTGTAAAGTTATATCTGTCTATAAAAATTATGATAATTATAAAATTTATACGAGAATATACTTGGAACAACAAATGAACACATTTTTCATTTGAAATGTGAAAATAAAACAAAAAGATAAAATTTATTTCACTTTTGCAATTTAAAATACTTGGTATAATTTAATAAAATTTTTTAAAGTAATAAATTATAATTTTTAATAGTTTTTCCATTAATCCACCCCTTTAGTTTTGTTTTTTTTATATCACAAAAAAAATAAGTAATTTTAACGTTAGTTAAATTATTGTTAACGTTAGAAAAAAAATTAAAAAGAAGAAAAAGATAAAATCTGTTTAACTTTTGCAATTGAAAATAAATATATAAAATTTAATATAATTTTTTAATCTAATGAATTATATTTTTCATAGTCACAGAAATTAACCTTAATTTTTTTTTATATTAAAAAAAAAATAAATAATCTCAACGTTGTTAACGTTAGAAAAAAAATTAAAAAGAAAAAAAAGATAAAATTTGGTAAACTTTAGCAATGTAAAATACTTAGTATAATTTAATATAATTTTTGAATGTAACAAATTATATTTTCTATAGTTTCCCCATGAATCCACCCCTCTAGTTTTTTTTTATATTACAAAAAAAAATAATTTTAACATCGTTGACGTTAGAAACAAAAAAATAAATAAATGAAAGATAGAAAAAAGTATTGTACATATTTTATCACGATTATAAAATGATCGATGCGTAAAGACATTAACGGAAGTAAAATAGATCGACCTTCATTTTCCGGTATAATAATCGTACCGAGTTAAAAATCTCATTTTACTCTATTGTTAAACCAGAAAAGCGAATCGTCGTCATTATCATCATTCGTTCGATACTTTTTTACATACTGTGTAGTAATAATATTACCGAGAAGAAAAGAAAAAAGAAAAAAAAAAGAAAAATGTCCTTCCGTTTTATACACGTTCACCTAACCTAACTTTTTTGTCCATCCTACTATATTATTATCGATCGATTACTTTTAACGTCAAAATGAACATTTTTACCAGTTTTCTTATAAACGTATTATATTATATTATATTCATTTTTGTTTTTTATTTTAATTTAATCTTCACTGTAAAAAATTATTGTACATTTTCTTTTTCTTGTTTATTTTTGTCGACATTTGCTTTCCATCATTTATGGCGGAAATTAAATTAAATTAAATAATTTTATACGATTTTTATTCTTTATATATATATATATATATATATATATATAGATATTAATTACATAATTTGAATTTATTTTGTATTCCAAATTCAATATTTTGTTTTTGTTTTGTTTTAAATTGTTAATTTATTAATTTAAAATTAAATTGTTTTCAATTTTAAATATGTCAAAAAAATAAAAAAAGAACAAGAAAAAACATTTTACATAATTATTATTTATTATAATGATTATTTAAATAATATTTAAGCACGAATCAAAGATTAAAAAAATATCGAAACAATCATCGATACTTATTCAAACGTGTCCACTAAATTTTGAAACTAAAAACAAATCAAGGTAATAAAATGACAAGAAAAACCCCATTATAAATAATTTCACCGATCAATTTTTAAATAAATAATGATAGGAACTTGTCAACGTATAGCAAAAGGTTTTGATAGAAGAACAACGAGACGTATTATGATTTACAAGTCCTATCGATCATATTACAAGGGGAAAACCAGAGTAATTCGCATAAATGAATTAATGGCTAAAGGTGTTCCCGCACTCCTTCCTCTCTATTCCTGACATCGAAAATTTATAACATAGTCGTGACCAATACTTGGACAAAAGATTTATCACAAAATAATACATGTTTTTCACTGTGATATATATTTATTGTATACATATATAAATATATATTTTATACACGTTCACCTAACCTAACTTTTTTATTCATGCTATATCCATAGATATATGTTTTTACTATATATATGATGTTACTATATATATATCTTTTGATTTGACCTTTATTTATATATTTTTTCAATTTTTTATCTTTCAGTACATTTTTGACTAATCAATAACTGTTTTGATTAATTATATTGAAATGAAATACTCGACAAAGTTTATTTTTATAGCTTTAATGCTTTGGAAACTTTTGATATTACTATTTTGAAAACGAAATAACGAAGAAAGAAAAATAAAATAATCGAAAGTAAAGAAATGATAATAAAAAACGGTCATAGATTTTCTAATTGGTCATTCTTTTTATCTTTTTATCTTCAAAATATCTTTTATGATAGTACTAAAGAAGACGAACTTGTACAATGTCGTAAAAAATTCACACTAATCCTAATTTATTATAACCAACAATTTCAAACTTTCTTCTTTTATTTGTTTTTCATATAATTAAGTTATTATTTTTTAATACGTCTTACCCATAAAAAAATAAATAATATAATTTAATAAACTATTTATCTCATAAATTTATTATTATTAAATTTATTTATAAATAATATTATTTATTATCTCATTAAACAAAATTCAACAATAATCGTGTCACGAATTATGTTAATTTTCTAACAAGTATAGAAATAAAATAATAAAAATAATAATAAAATTTAAAAAAGGGGTTGAATTAACTGTTTTCTAGCACCTATCAAATTTGCGCATAATTGGGCCCACAATTATCAACCAATAAAATTATTTTAACGTGCGCACGTACCTTTTTAATATTAGCGATGATGTGTTCTCCAAAAAATAAATAAAAAAAACCATTAGACAGAAGAAGGGTGAAATAAGGTAAAAAAAAAGTCAAAGTTAAATTTAATTTTTCTAGTTTCGTTTCTTTTCTTTCTTCCTGGTAGTCACATAACCTCTCAAAGATCACGTGACAGACAGTCTTGATCGAGGATTGGTCTCACAAATAAAATTACTTTCGGTAAACTATTTTCCTCTTCTTTTTCTTCTTTTTCTTTTTGTTTCCTGTTTCTTCTTCTTCTTTTTCTATTTGTTTCCTGTTGCTTCTTCTTCTTCTTTTTCTTCGTTTTCTTTTTTTGTCTTCTTTTTCTTTTCAATTGGATAACCGTTTTCTTCGACCCCGTCGATGAAACGTTCGACTACGAAGAACTCGGAAATGAATTAATCGACGATGGTCATTGAAGAATAAACCTAATCGAATATCCATACGCATGACTCGCCAAAAGATCGTCGAACCGATTGAAATTCACCATTTAATGATAATAATAATAATAACAGTAATAATAATAATAATGTTAACGTTCTAACTGCTTTGATCATTCGATCCTCTAAATTCTTTCTCACGAACATTTTACGATTTTCTTACAAATTGTCCACTCCGATATTAAATTAATTAACACTAATTTTAAATAGACGTACATTATTTCCATTTATTTATTATTTATTATTATTGTTGTTATTATTTTAGATGTTATTTTTCATTTATGATTATTGTTTATAATATTAGATGTTTTAATGTTAGGAACGAAGAGAGTTGAACAGTTTACGATTATTAATTATTTAAACTTTAATTTCACTTTTTCTCACGACATAAAAAAAGAAAAAAGTGTTATTATAGAATAATTTAAAAAAAAAAAAAGTTAAAAGCGTAATCTTTAAACTACGATCTACTCATTTTGATTTATAAATTGAACAAAAAATTCTTTTCTAACACTTAAAAATAAAATCGCGATATTATCTCGTACTGTAATTTATTAAATTAAGAAGAAAAAAGTAAAAAATATTTGTAAAAGATTCGTCCCTTAATTTTTAATTTTAATTCTTAAAAAAAATTTTTTTTTTTAATTTTTTTTTTTTAAGAACTTATCTAAAACACCGTTCGTCCTTTAGATCCTATCTTAGTAGGGATCAGGATCATTGTCATGTAACCACCGACCACGCTCGTTCGAAGGACATTTCGTACTGACGGCTTTTGCCCAACCGTAACATAAGTGCACCACCACCACCACGCATCTATGAGAACATTTCTAGAGGGTGTTCAGAATCAAGGAAACAACGCGACGACGACTCTCTACGATAAACGTCATCCCTGCTAAACTACCACAAGAAAATATCCCACAGATTCCCTAGATCTAGAAATAAAATCGATTTTGGAAATACCAAATTATCCATGGTGGAATTAAATATTTGATTACCTTCTTTGATTACCATCTGAAGATAAAATCGTTTCCTGTATTACTGATTGTGAATATTGTTTTATTTTATATTCCCGATTTTCAATATTGTTTCATTTTTTACATTACCGATTGTCAATATTGTTCTATTCTAAGTTACCAACTAATTTTTATTTTTATTAAAAATTTTTTTTTTTAATCAATATATTGTTAGTAACTTTGATATATATTTTTAACATGATATATCGATATTATTAAAATAAATAGCATTAGCAATTTTTTTTAACACATAAAGCGTGTTTTGTTCATAACTTTGTACAAACAAAAATATCGATCTTTTTATCGCGATAACATATGTCATTCATTGTTTATCGTATTTATCGTAAAATAGTATGGATTGCTAGAATAAAGTACCAATCAAGAGATAATAATTACCTGAAAACAAAAATTTATAGGATGACTTTCAAAATAATTCATTGTAAATGTTAGAATTTATTGCAATTTATTTTGTAATTGTAATGACTAGAAGAAACAAAAAAGAACATCTTTTATTTCGACAAATAAAAGACGAGTATTATTGTTTTAAACAATACATTTAACATTTGTTTAGTAATACTTTAATAGAGAATAATTTAATTTTGTGTTGTCTTTTTTTTGTATTACATTATTGCATTACATCATAATTTTGTTTATAATAAGTCATTGATAACTACTAAAATATAATACCGATTATATTAAAATTGTTTTTGTTAATCTTTACAATATATTATAAGATTACAAAAATAATTTATTTATTTTCTTATCATTTATTTTGCATTACACAGTTATAACAATTTTGCAAAATGTACAAAATTAAAATTTTCCTAACACGATTAATTCTATTCTATATAATAAACATATATTATTTACTTTCTATACAATACACAATACTTTTTTTTGTTTTTAATTAATTATTTCATCAAAATTATTTGTCTCTATTTAACAAAATTTTTATAAAAATGTTCAGCAACGCATTGGTATCTTGCAAGTTTTTTATCATCAATAATGTTATAAAAATTTTCTATATTTTCAATATCTTCCATAGTTAATTTATCAATATCTAAAACATCATCTTTATCTGCAAGTATAACGTGAATTAGCCAGAAACCAGTTAACAAACCGTATAAACAAAATCTTTTCAATTCAGATTTGAACCAATCGATATTTAAATTTTTAAGATGTTCCTCATTAACGCCATTTTCTTCGAGACATTTAGAAAAATGACGATGATAATGTTCCACTAATTTTTCATAATCATTCTCAATGTAACACGATCTAACACTTGTATAAACAAAATAAAGAAAATCCGTAGCAACCGATGAATGTCTAACAATTTGATAATCGACGAATTTCAAATCCGATATTTTGCCGTTCTTATCATATTTATATAAAATATTATTAATCCATGGATCACCATGACAAATGGTAAAATATTTGTCTTTAGGTAAATTGAACAATTTAGTTAAAGAATTGTAACATTGATTTTTCAACGTTTTCAAATATCCTATCGCATTTTTCAAATCTTCCGATTGATCTTTTATCGATTCCAAATGATGGATAGCACAATTCATACTATTCTCAACTGTACCACCAATCGGAGATTTAGTATCCGTACAAAAAATTATTTCTTTCAATGGACTTGTCAATTCTTCGAAATATTTTGGATCCTTTAATTTTATCGACAATGATTTTCCATGCCATTTCGCTAAATTCTGAAATTTAAAAAACAAAAAATGTATTACAAAAATTATTTAATTGTTTTTTAACACTCGTATGTATTTTTTTTTTTTTTAACTATACTATATATTATCCATGACTTTGTAAAGTAACCAAGTTAACAAATGATAACGTATTTATTTTATTTTTGTTACCATACACACAAAAGTGCAATTTTTAATAAATAGTAATTTTATAAAAAATTATATAAAATGAAAGAAAAATTAAATAAAATTAATATATTATTTTATAAAAAAATATATAATTATATTTAATATATAATATATTTTATTATTATATTATATATAATAAATAAATATATAATAAATATAATATAATAAATTTATTGTATAAATAATTATATAAATATTAATTAAATTTATAATAAATATAATATAATAATTTTATTATATATAATAATTATATGATTAAATAATTTATATTATTTAAATATTATTTAAATATTATAAAAAATATATAGAATAAATATAATTTATAATAATAAATATTAATAATTAATATATATAATATATCTACTATATTTAAAATAATTCCTAATAAAACAAATAAAATATTGACTTTTCTAAATGAAAAAATAAATTGCCGAATGTACTAGCAATTTTTCATAATCTTTTATTATCCGACTGTAATAACGTTTCAACTCAAAAATATTCACGTCTCGTACACCAAACTACCACTAACATTCATTCAGATTCTAATGCATAAAGTAACTATTATATATACATTTTCCAAATGACGCATTTAAGAACATAAGTGAGAAAATCAAATGTAAATATCTTATCAAATAGATTATTAACCTTGTCAGGTATTTACAATTGAACTCATCCTTCATACGTAATATACTCCTATTATATATTATCTTTTATGAAATGATACTAACACACTTATGTGTACACACATAAATATATATAAATATAGTTGCGATACAGATCTAAACTTACGTAAGATATTTATTGATGATTAACAAAAAAAAAATAATAATAAAAAAAAAAACAAGAAAAATTATCAATGAAAAAGATAAGAAAAAAGAAATAATAGTAATAATACCTGTAAGGTGAACAAAGTGTGTTCCAAATCAAGATGATTTCGTCTGTCGCAATTAGTATATCCTTGTTCAGCTAAATCCTCCATAATAATCTCGCCTTTGTCCAATAAAACGAAACGTGGTCCAAAATCACCAATAACAGGTAACAGTTTTTCATATATATATCCTTCGATTAAATATAATGCTTCCGTATTGATCATTTGTGTTACAGGACGCGTATACGGAAGTATCTTGGTCATGAATTTTTTTTTATAAGCTATGAACAAATAAATAATTAGTAATTTGATATAATTGATATGGTTAATATTAATAAATTTGTTTTTGCATTTCTTACTATATATATATATATATNTATATATATATATATATATATATATATATATACGTAACTATTACTGGTATATAAATAACCGTACTGAAGAGATATGGTAAAAAAATAATTAATTATAAAAATAAAATTAAATATATATTATAAATTAAAAAAAAAATTAATAATTATTAATAAAAATAGAAATAAATATATATTATTATTATTGTTATTATTATTATATATTATCGTACTGAAAAAATATGATAAAAAGAGAACAATATATAATAATTATTAATAAAATAAAAAATAAAATAATACTAACGTTTACCGTCCCCAGATTTACCAAAGACTGTAGTTCTGATCATGATCGATGTATAATTGTCACCCTTATTAGATCCTGCTTCATTTTTTGCCTCTTCAATGACAAGTCCATTATCATTTTCAAACTTCCTTAACAACGTTTGCCACTTCGTTCTATCTGTATCTGTAAAAGGAAAATAATTCCAAAAAAAAAAAGTATAAAAAGAACAACAATAAAAAATTAAACGAACGAATAATAAAAATAAAATATGTGATAAAATATTTATACACACATACAAATATACTCTTATTTCTAATATAATATTAAAATTAAACGAACAAATCAGATTTTAAATAAAAATATATCGTATTAATCAAAATAATTAATGTGTATTTTTTTTATTACTTATTATATATTATACATTATTGTTTGTTAAATTTATTATTCTTCCCAATAAAAAAAAATAAAATAAAATATAAGAGAAGAATAATAATTAACAAAAATGAATTATTATATTCTAGAATAATTAATAATATATCATATCAATTGAAATAGTTATATATTATGTATAATATTTATATATTATTATATTACATATATTTATATATATATTATAATATATATTATATTAATTTCCATGTACCCCGAAAAGGAAGCATTATTTTAAATAAAAAAAAAAAAAAAAAAAAAAAAAAAAAATATATAATATTAATTTATATTAATTTTATTTTATATTAATTTATATTATATTATATTAATTAATATATATATTATATTATGATATATTTATTATTTATATATACATATAATTATATAATAATAATAAAAAATATATATATTTTTTTTATTACTATATAATTAACGAAATATAAACAAATATAAATTATTCTTCGTAACAAAAAAACAAAAAACAAAAAAAGTATATAAATGAAAAATAAATGACAAATGAATTTTAATATTATTGTATTATAGAATAATTTTCCAAGTTAACACGTGTGCCATTATTAAATCTCATTCATATAACAAATTATTTTTCCTACAAAAAAAAAAAATTAAATAAAATTAGATAAAATATAAAATGAAAGAATAATAAAATGACCAAAAATGATTGATAATATTGTAGAATAATTTTCTAAGTTTCGCACGTGTGTTATCATTGAATCTGACTCGCTCGTACCTGACATAGTTTTCTGCTCCATTTTTGATCGTAACCGCACTAGACCTAGGCCGATAGCAAACTATTTGCTTGATAGCAAGCGCTGCTATAATAATGCATTAGGATGCTTTGACGTAGCGCCTGAGATAAGTGCAGGTATTACAGAAGATCTACAGACTTCTCGCATTTCGATTATAGTTTTTTTTCTTTTTCTCACACATGCTCACACGTATACATACACGTAATCATTCCTATCTATTTTTCCTCTCCCCTCTTATCCAACCCACCCACACACTCCCATATCTGTCTATTTCACATACACACGTTCTAACACATTCTAATTTACTATGTCACTTTTCCTAGTAATTAGAAACAAAAAAACAACAAATGTTAAAAAAGAAAAATCATAATGATTCAAACACTATTATGAATGATGAAGTTATTTAACGTATCCCATTGGTGGAAAGACCAATATTACCATATTTGGTTATTACTTTGTTATTATAGCTATTTTTCTCATGAAATCCTTTGTATATATGCAAACACGTTAATGTTTGATATTCAAAGTCATATACACGTTTTAGGAAAAAATAGAAAATAGAAAATAGAAAAATAAAAGAAAAATATTCTCAGTGTTAAGAGTATTTAACAAGGTCAAGAGCTAATAAATCGGACTGACGTTGCAACAATCTGATGTAGTATATGTCTTTAGTTTCTCTGTTTAATTCTATTCTCTGTCTTTGTTACTCAGGTTTGTCTAGTATTATCATTTCTAGCATGTAAACGCTATGTCATCGTTTCACCTTGAACGAATAGGCTAACACATTGGAACTTGGCAATTGAAATATTCCGGTCGATTGATGGGGGGGACTATATTTTTAAATGCTTACGTTTTCTTTGTGTGTGTGTATATGCATCTACATTGTTTTTTTAATTTCTTTATTGCCAACTTCTTAATAAACGTAATGAACGATATTAACAAACAAAATTATATAAAACAGTCGTTAAACAAATCGATCAGTTTGTTGAATAAATAATTTTTTATTTATATAATATTAATATTAATAATAATATATTTTTATGGAACAGTGTGTATGTGTGTGTTTTTGTTTTATTTTATTTTATTTTATTTTTTGTTAATTTCATCAACGTCATTAATGATGTGAACTAAAAAATAATTCTAAACAAAATAATCGATCAATTAGGCTATATAATTAACCTTTTATTTTTATTTATATTGTATTATTATTAATAATAGTACATTTTTTATTGAAAAATTACGTCATTTGCATTAAACATGAATCATGTTAGAATATAAGTTTAAAATAAAGATAAAGTTAAAAAAATTAATATCACAGGAAGAAAAAATGGTACTGAATGAATTTGATAAATGCAAAAAGTAATCAAATGACATGTTGTTTTATAAGTGACGTAACATGAATAATAACTCATAACTATACGTTTATTGTGTGTGTGTGTGTGTGTGTGTGTGGTCCGGTTGTTCTCTTAATTGCACAGAAAAGTCGGTGATGTTATAAGAAAAATATCAACAACAAAAAATCTAACAAATCCAGAAACGGATGTAAAAGATTCAAATAAAGAGATAAATGAAGATTATAACAATGTAGATAAAATTTTATCATATTTTTGACATCAAACAAAATTGATAAGCAAAAATAAAATCAAATAAAAATAATAATAATAATATTGCAATATAATTTATTTTAATAACATTATTAATAATATATATATATATATATATA